CCCCCCCCCCCCCCCCCACCCCCTTCCTCAAACAATGGTAATGTGAATTAGCTAATCAGGGTTAACTCGCAAAATAACCTGTAGATACTGAAAAACTATACTAGGCTTCCGAGGAAGCAAAAGAGAGGACCCCAGGAAGGAGGAGGGGCGGTTTTCTGCCTGAAAAGGAGAACTGGACCCTTTTTAGGTAAGAGGTATGTAAGAGAGGAATATATATGCGTTATTGAGCGAGCTGGCAAGATGGCTCATCTTGCCCTTACGGGTAGCCAACCAGAACAAAGGGTTTGCCTCATCTTGCTCACGACTGCTGACAGATATATAGTAAATATCGATGAATATTTTCTTGATTTCACCCACGAGAGAATCATTCATGGTCTCTTGTTTCAGTAGTTAAGGTATAGATGTAGATTAAGAAAATTGTGGTATTTTATGTTTGAAATTGCTCTAAAACTCGAGAGAAATTTTGTTCTTGGTCGTTCAGCTGAGGGTTTACCCGTTTCCTTTGCCTCTCTCTATCGTTATAATATGCATCAGCTTAGGAAAGGCGTAAAATTTTTTCAATCAAAGTATTTGCTCGAAGTACCTTCTTGTTTAAAAGTGGGCTTATTTATGGTCATAACTCAAGACATGTCGTTGAACGGACCTGTCATGACCTTCGAAAGATAAGAACTAATAATGGTAAATTTAGTATCCTTTTCCAAGGCCCTGTGATTTGGAATTCAATAAATAAAGATATCCTCTTTAGCACAAATTAAAGCACTATCTTAGCACCAACAGTTATTAGTTCAAGTAACGTAATGATTCGCAGGTGAGTTGAGATTTAAGCAATGACAGAAAGACTCTTGAAGTTCATTATTAGTAGCAGCATGTACTCAGTCTTCAGTTGTTTTGGCTAAACTTCGTTTACCTCAGTTTTATTGAGCGTACTTATATACATACATTGTAAGCTCTTTTTTTTAAATACCGACTATTAACTGCAAAATTACAAAATTTACCTGCAACGTGGCCCTTTTTCTTAACTAATCAAGGTTATTTAGAGCGGTCAATTACTCTTCATTTCCATTATTGTGTGATAATGAGACAATTGTAACTGTAGTTAAGGTTAGGGATGAATGAAGCGCGTAGAAGGGGAGGGACTGGACAGGAGCTTGAAATAGTAAGAAGCGATACCCCAGTGTAAAAACCTGCTCTTGAAATTTATGAAGCAGAACGGCTTTTCTGTGCGTATGTGAATAGCTTTTTTTTTTCTTTTTATGTTGTTGTTGTTGTAGTTTTCACTGAATTATGCCTTGCCTCCAGGTCCGTACATGATATTCACGTCTGGAGCTAACAACTATGGCGAAATACTTAGCGTTAAATATTGAAAAGTACGGATTATCACCGATTAAAGGAAATTGCGAAATGTCTGACAGCAAGTAGTAAAAGTTCTCTAGGACTGCACCGACCACGAGTTTCAGTCACTTTTTGAACAATCATTTACAAATCGATATGACATTTCTAAACGAAAAAAGTATATTTAAATATTTTAATCTCAGTTTGTAATAAAATGAGAAACATTTAAATTTCTCATGCAGCAAATTTTGGTAAAACAGACGCTTGATTAAATGATTTGGCGAGATATGTAATTATCATACAAGTGAGTCCATATTGAATAGAGAACAAAACAGTTTAATCAGTCATATAAGTTATTGTCTTCCGATAATTAAGAGATTAAGGTCATGTCGCTTCCAAGACACGAAAGGTGTTTCGTAATTTTCCTATTCTACCAAATTTTAGCCTCTCTTATTTTTCCAAATCACACCTGGAAAATGGAGATTCCTGCATGCTACACAAGCTGGCTAGGTAAGATTCTTATTTTGCTTTACAGATCTCTCTTTTCGTGAAAGTTTAAAGCTTATCTGTTGCGAGAGCTAGAATTCTTCACGATCTTTTAGCAACAATGCCCTTTTGAACCATCCTCGAAGATACGAGTTCATGGCGATCGATCTTTCACGGAATGTGAAATTCTGTGCCGCTTTCGATTTGCAGTAATTCGTCTGCTGACATTTCAAAAAGCAAGTTTTGAAGACTGCTCCTTTTAAAAAGTTTTTTAACAAATGTTTATGTATTTCTCGCATTCGTCTCTTGCGGAGAACCATGAACAAGTTATTGGAGTTGTGCGCTATAGAAATACTTTATATATATATATACATGTATGTATATATATATATATATATATATATATATATATATATATATATATATATATATATATATATATATATATATATATACATATATGTATATATATTTTTCCTCTCTTTCCAATATCATTATTCCAGATCACTCGTCGTTTTAAAATTCGTTGAACTTAGAACGCACTTAACAGTTATCAATACATCACGATAAGATAACGGAAGGAAATGATTAGCTAATATTTAAGATCTTCATGTTAATTGACGACTCGGGAGTGATGTTTCGTGAGACCCACTTTTCGCCTGCACTCGTTGTTTTTAATGTCGAGTCAAGATGGCACCGTTAAAATTGCCACGTATTTTCTGCTAAGATTAGGAACCAAAACGACTCGATCGTTTTAGTCTCTAATCGAAGCGGACTCGAAATGGTGTTTTTGTATATCAGTCAAACACAAGTGTAGAAGAGTGCTGGCTCTTGGTGCTCCGTAACACCACATTTTGGCTCTGTGCTCACTAATATAAGTTGAACAACAACCTCGTACTTTTTCGCAGTCGTCCTGTGGACAATATATAAATGCCTGGATTTTTTCGAAGCAATAGAAACGACATCATGGTTTCATCCAAAGCACGCTTCATGGCTCCCAGCCGGGGGCAACCTTGTGCAGTGTAACCTTAGTGTGCCATAATGTTAGAAGAAGTCTGCTTTGGAAGCGCTTGAACACTGTTGAAAGTTGCGCCGGTGAAAAATGTTAAACGTGGGTTGGAGTGAATATGTAAAGGTTAAAACATTCACCCAACAGTCGTGCGACAAATTGCTTATGTTAGACGAAACTTAAACAATTGTTAGGCCTTTAGCCCCATTTGATGTTGACAAACGACCACACGGCTCTCTTGTATAATTATAATAAAAGCCCCAACAAAACATGAGCATAAGGAATATTCTTTCAGTTTTGAGACCAATTTTAGTCGCGTTACACGGCAATTGTGCAGTGTGACTCGTTGTCACAGCAACTGTGATGCTGCACAGGCTCCTTAAAAGTTATTTTAATCCGCAAATTCTTATAAACAAAAATAGAAGTGGCTAATTTCCTTGCGTAATAATGCAAAAAGACAAAAAAGAATTCAACTTTATGTTGTCACGTACCACAGTACTCTTAATGGCTTAGGCATTGTCAAAATGAATCGAGTCTGCCAAATTGTGCGGATTTGGATTTTTATAGATGAGGAGAAAATGCTTCGTAGTACTTCTCTGATGAACCTTCGATGACTACATCCGTAAAGTCAATTTTACCTTGTGTCAAGATTGGAAGATAAAGCTGATAAAGATCTTCTGATCCCAGATTATGCTATTTTTTTAGCCCCTGGTGAAGCACCAAAGCCACCAAGAATCCCACTTAAGGTAGAAGATAACTTTTGTTCCAAAACATCAAGCTCACGTATTCACTATTTTAGAGCTTTGTACTCAAGACAACAGTTTTCACTTCTGAGAGAAACTTCTGTATAGTAATCATATCAGTTACTCCCGTTAATTATAATCGCAAACGAACAACACAATAAGAGAAAACAATACAAAATTGCCTGCAATACAAATCGGTCAAACAAAGCCTCTTAAGAGAAGCTTGTAAGCTAAATTCAATTGTCTCTCAATCGGCTAAAACTCGATCGACTTTTCTTTCTTAGTCGAGGATGCGCGCCTAGCTTTCTTTTAGCCAATTTACGAAAATATTTCTTTTTTGTTTACAACTTAGTACCATTAGTATCTTTGGTTTAGTTTAGTACTTCGAAATATGTCGTCGAATTGGATTGTAGTTTCCTGTGGGAATTGCTAAGAATGGTCTTTTTTTGAAATGTTGAAGCCCCCTATTGTCCTGTAACCAATCTCTGCTTAGCTTCTCTAATAACCTTTCTGTCGTTGTTTATGAGAGCCTTTTGAGCAGGGTATGACATCTGTATCTCCAGTTTATTGCATTTCCATATTTTTGTTTTAGTTCTCAGGGCCTGAGTTCCTCTGTTTCAACATTCAAAACCGAGCTGGATGATTGTCAAACAAAGTGGATAAGATGGTGTCTTAGGAACAAATTTCATTTCATTTCATCTCGTGAGGCGCCTACAATGAAGAAAAAATTGAACGTGCTGATGACTGTATGCCTTTTTTGTTGGCTTTGTCGGCTTATCTTCGCTCAAAACACAAAAGAAAAAACTGAGAGCCTCAGCTATGCCTTCACTAAAGGAGATTTCGTGATCGGTGGTTTATCGCCCGTTCACTTTTCGCCCACGGAGGCCGAAGAACAACAGAACCCGAATTCTTTTACTTGCCAAGGAAGACTCAACACTAGAGGTTTTGAAGCGGTGGAAGCGATGCTTTTTACAATGGACATGCTAAATGAAGGGCCACTTAAGGATGTGGTGCTACCAAATATAACCATTGGCATGGACATAAAGGATACGTGTGGCAGCGCTGATTACGCCGTTCGAGAATCACTGAATTTCTCGTTTATTCGCAACGCTCATGCTAAGGATCAGTGCAGCCCAAGTTATGAAAAGGAAAAGTTTCAAACCATCGCTGTGGTCGGTGCAGCTTACAGTGGAGTATCAATGGCGGTTACAAATCTCTGTGGATTGTTTTACGTGCCTATGGTGAGCTACGCATCGACAAGTAGTTTGCTGAGTAATAAGGTACGATTTGGTTACTTCTTGAGGACTGTGCCTAATGATATGTTACAAGCGAAAGTGATGGCGGATCTTGTTCGAAAGATGAAGTGGAACTACGTGATAACTTTGGCTTCAGAGAGCGAGTACGGCCGATCTGGTATCGAGGCCTTTAAAAGAGCGCTTGACAACTTCGGCGATAGCTACGATGTTTGTATTCCAGTGGATGAGCGATTCACAAAACGCTCCACAGATGCAGAATTCGAAGAAATATTTCAGAAGATGCTTGCAAACTCCAAGGCTAAGGTTGTGATTCTCTTTGCGCAGCTGCACGACGCGAACATTTTAATTGACAAAGTTCGCCAGCACAGATTAATGTCGAAAGAAAAGTATGTTTGGATAGGTTCTGACGCTTGGGCAGACTCAAAGCAAGTCCTGAAGGGCAACGAGGACATTCTACGCGGAATGTTTGGTGTCGTGCCAGAAGTTGTGCATATTGAAGAATTTGACAAGTACTTTACGAGTTTCACAGACAAAAGAAGGAAGCGAAATCCTTGGATGCGTGAATATGAATATATGAAAGTTGCGCATAACCCAGCTTTTTACCGGGACACATTTAAACATTATCCTAAAGCGCAGTACGTGATGGATGCAGTCCTAGCGATCGCCTACGCACTACATAACATGCTCGGTTGTCAACCTTACCAAGATTGCTCCAAGAAAATCAAGAATCTTAAACAACGAAAATTTCTGGAGTTCTTGGAAGACGTGAAATTTCCTGGCAAGTCGAGGGAACAATTTTCGTTCGACTATCTTGGGGATGCAATTGGAGTGTACGATATTCGTCATTTAGGGCTTGAGGATGGCAATTACGATGTCATAAAAGCTGGTAAATGGGGTGGGAAGGAATGTGACATTCTCGGCGCTAATCTGTCTATGAGTTCCTGTCTCGATCTGGACACGACAGTCATTGACATGGTTAACAAAAATATGAAGAACTTCACACAAGAAGGTATTCCTTTCTCGACATGCAGCAAGGACTGTCCGCCTGGTTATCACAAAAATCCCGAGAAGAATCACGCAAAGTGTTGCTGGGAATGTCGACTGTGTAGCGGTAACACTATTACGAATCAAACCAACATGGACGACTGCACCGCATGCCCTCGAGGATATCGCGCAAGTAACAACCATTCGCGCTGTGAGCCCATACAACCCACGTCTTTACACTGGAATGATACGTTAGGTGTGATAATTATCTGTATATCAGGTGCTGGCATCCTGTCGGTAATTTACACCTTTGCAGTGTACTATGTCTACCGTGGGACACCTGTTGTGCGAGCGTCCAGCAAAGAGCTGTGTTACATTCTGCTTTTTGGTATCGCGTGGTGTTACGCGACACCCATCGTTTTTCTTGTCAATCTAACAGACCAGGTCTGCAGAGCAATTCCGTTTGTCACAGGTCTGTCCCCCGCGCTGATAGCTGGGACACTCCTCACCAAGACGAATCGCATATCACGTATTTTCAATCGCAAGCTTTCGAAAACAGGGACTCCAAGTTTTCTGTCCAAAAAATGGCAAGTGTTGATGGTGCTGTGCCTAGCGGTGGTGGAATGTCTTATCGGAGGAGGATGCGTGCTCTTCAACGAGACTGGAAGCAAATTGGTGATCTCCGAATCTAAGAAAGAAGTTCTGAAACAGTGTAAAGAGCTGCCTGACATTTGTACAGCGATTTGGTGGGTGTACAACATGGGGCTGGCCTTGACTTGCACGTATCAAGCATTCCGCACGCGGAAATTACCTGAGAACTACAACGAGGCCAAGTTTATCACCTTCACCATGGTGATAACGTGTATAGTTGTAATAATTTTCATTCCAACGTACATAGGAACGAAAGGGATCTACAGAACTACCATAACCTGTTTTGTGTTCATCATAGGCGGTTCCTCAACCCTTTGCTGCATGTTTGTACCTAAGTTGTATATAATTCTATGGAGGCCTGAAAAAAATGTGCCCATGCAGCCTCGCTCCTCGACAATACGTTTGGGAACCATTTCTCCCTCAGCATCTTTTGTGAGGCGTTTGAGTGTAGACTCCAGCTTCAGTGAAAAGGCCAGAGAAGGAAGAAAAACACGAATTCACTCACTGCCAACGATTGAACTAAGTGGAACCGAAGGCGAGAATGGAGAACACCAAGAAGTGCCGAGAATCAAGAAAACTACCCGATCCTTTTCTCTCAGTCCGGACATGCTTTCAGGAGGTCGAACAAACCTCGAGCGGAGTCCTGAGCGGAGCCCCGAGCGGAGCCCCGAGCGGAGCCCAACGAGGCTGTTCCCATCTCGCCGAAGGGGTAGTCTTCAGGCTCCTTCTGCCATGCTTTCCTCCATGGAAATGATCGAGGAAGGAAACGAGTTTGAAATATTCGGAGCCAGTAACGAGTGTGCTGGTGATGCTTCAGACAGTCGAGACCTTCGCGCGGGTTTGGAACGGCTGAAAACGGAATTCTATGAACTCCAAGAAAGAGATGATCGCTTAGACGCGGAAGATGAAAAAAATTACTGCGAAGATGAAGTTTTTCTGCCTTTAGACGTTGAAAATCAAAATGGTTACCACAACGAAGAGGAACGTGAAACTTCTGAAGGTGATTCTGGAAGTAAAAATCCTATCACTTGTGCTTCGAATCTGGATAATTGTCAACCAAAAACACAAACAGTGTCTACGAATAACAGATTATCCTGTCAAAACTGTGGTTCCATAGTCTCCCACATAGACCGAGATTTGTTGATCGAAGTTTTGCGTGCGCACTTGGCAAGGAACGGTAGAAACCAACCTGGCGAGAGAACTAAGAAAAATTCTGAAAATAGCCACAGTCACAAAACGGTGACGTTGCCAGAGAACCCGAGCGATCAAAATGACGCTAGTACACGCAGGAGAAAGTCAGGAATATGTAATCAAAAACCTAAGGATAAACGCTTTTCCAGGAACGGGTTAGACTTAAATGATAACAGGCCGGCGAAGAAATTGAGAAATCCAAGCTACTACAGCTGCGAATCCATTAGTTTGCCTTCTCTCGTTAGTGTCTTCTCTCAAGAAGAGTGCACTCTTGATTTGGGCGTGATGAGGACCAAGAATACTGAAGATAAGCAGAAAAAAGCCAACAAGGCGCTCATGAACGGAAAAAACTGCGGTATTAAGGGCGGCGTTTTAAAAAGACCATACTCTCAGCCAAATGGAAGTGTCTGTCACGATCTAATAAATGGCGAAGAAAGTGACTTTACCACCGAAAATGATAAACTTCTTTGCGAAGAAGACAAAGAGTTGGAAACTGTGCTGTAAGAGCGTTGTTCGGTAGCTTCTAATGGAGGTCGTTTTGTTTTCGTGCCTTAAGCCTGCTGCAAAACCTTTTACACGTTTTAGGATTGAGTGTCGGAAAAACCAAAACCAAATTTATCAGAACGACCAATCAGAACACAGGAAGTTATCAACAGGAACCAATGAAATAATAGAAAAAAGATAGCATGCAGCCGCCTCTAAATAAACGCGTGCTGTCATAAGGGCAAGAAAACGCGAGGTACTCGGACGAGAATGCCTTAGTTTTGTTATCTGATTGGTTGAGATGGTGGCGCAAATTTTTCGTTTCTTGGAAACATAGGTTAAAGCATGCTATTGCGCCAACTCGATTATTTAAAAAATAAGAAGTCACGCAGGTGCGAAAAGAAACTGTCACGCACTATCGCGTGACGACTACAGTCGATGACGAAGGCATCTGATAGTTTTCCTCATAACGCAGGCGAGCGATTGAAATTTGAAACACATGGACATTAAGTAAATAAATGATATATATTTGTATATATACAACCGTTTTCAAAAACGTTGCAACATTGAAAATATATATTTACTATATATATATATATCTTTTGTTTTCTTGTCAAAAAGTGTCTCTTTTTGATGAGAAAAGTAAAGGTATATTTAATACATAGTTTCAAACAATCATCATTTTTGAAGACGGGTATATATATACGCAAATTGTTATGTAGGGTGTCTAGAATCAAGAAGTTACGGCAATTTTTCAAAATAAAATAATCAAGACAAGAAACTTAGCCTTTAGTCAAAGGCTAAATTGAAGCTAAATTGGAGCTAAATCCATATGCAAACCAACAGAGTTAGGAAAAAACATCTCCTTTTTCATTTTTCTCCACTGTTGGTTATTCGTCATATTTGATCATTGACAGATTTGGGGAATAGCTTCCTGGTTTCACTCTTCTCCATCAACCAAAAGCCTAGCACAAGCTAACATGGGTTTAATTTATTTGAATGGAATTCTTGTTCTCTCACCACCTCTATTACTTTTTAAAAGAAAAAAAGGGTTGCACTTTAGCAGAGCTTGTGCATCTCTGGAAACCAACCTCTGTCGTCGCGAGATGTAACTCTTTCACCCTCAAGATGTCATAGTAATTCTCATTACTGTCTTCCATACAATTCTTATAATGTTAGTTCAAAGAATTTGGTATTGGATCAGCCAATATTCTGTTATTTCATATTTTTCTTTATCTCATCATTCTCCCGCCTGATATTTTATTGATATTGTAAGGAGAAATTCTGCCTTGACTGACCCCTTGGGTCTGACTCTTGGGAGATGAAGTGTTAAACATCTTAGTCTCTGTGAAAGTTTTTCATCTTTTACATCAATGGCCAACATTCAACATCTAAATTCTCCTCAGTGGTCTGCACATGTTTTTCTATGATAGCAATTTCCTGATTTGTGCTCAGTGAGGACTATTATCATTTGCTGATCAGATCCTTCACTCTCACAACCTGAACTGATGATGATGAGGTGACTATGTTGGGGGACATTTTAAGTCGAGCCTTTTCACTTCCCATGGTGACCAATCATACATTTCTCTTTACAATATCAAATTTCTTTGAAGAAGCATCTAGCCTGTATCAGGTGGATGTTATTGGCACACTCCACAAATGTTTCTTTGCCCATAGGAAATTATGAAGCCTTGCGCAACATAAGCTGGCAAGAGATTTGCAAGGGCCTGGTATTGATAAATTCTATTAGTGCCACATTCCAGGCAAACTTCTCCCTGACTTCTTCCATTGCCCAAAGAAATAATGAGGGCCTGCTTAGAAAGGTGTTTAAAAAGACAAAAAACAGATCTTCTTTGATTTTTTCTACCTTAAACTATAAAATATGGTTCTCAAGAGTGGAAGAATTTGAGGGTTATTGGTTTAGCACCCCATATTGAGAGATAACAGTGATTATTTCAGGATCCAGCTTTGCATACAATTGATTAAGATTTCTAAGCTGACACAAACTCTTTGCCCAGGGTTATAGACAGAGGGAATTTAGAGGTATTTTCAGCACATAAGATGAGCAACATTACTGTATATCTTTTTTTAAGTCACTTTCCTGTTTCATTATGGAAAGCTATTAGGATTGTAAATAGCATAAAAAAAAGAAAGTAAGATTTAAGCTTGGTAAAGAAATAGAGAAAGATGTTTTTGTCATATCACAAGCATGGACAATAAGAAAATTCTGAGTCCCCATTATGGGATTGTGGCCAAAATCATAATTCAAAATAAACACTACAAAAAAAAATTCTAGGAGGTACAAATTATCTCAAAGTGCGTGTTTTGTAAATGTTGCTAAGTCTAAACTTTCGTGAAGCAGAATAAAGCGTATTTTAAGGGAAATGAGAGTTGATAGGAATGATAAGAGCAGCCATTTGAACAGGCATTGAAGAATTTCATCAAAGTTCTTCAATACAGGGTTTTCATTACAAAATGCAATGGCAAGGGATTGGTGTCAAGGAACAGGATAACAGGGAACAATTTCCTAATCTAAATAAAAAATAAAGGGGGTAAATTTCTAAAGAAACTGTGGTGTTACATTATTGGGGGGCATTAAAAGATAATTTGGCATTTTGTATGTAAAGAGTTTCTTAACACTTTAACTCCCATGAGTGACCAAGACAGAACTTCTCCCTACAATATCAATACAACATCAACCAGATAAGTGATGAGAATAAAGAAAAATATCAATTTGGGGATAATTAGTTGATCCAATACTAAATTCTCTGAACAAAAATCACAAGAAGTTTATGGTTGACAGTAAGGAGAATTACAAATTTGATCTGGGAGTTAAAGGGTTAAGCTGACTTTTTGAGTGCTAGCCCTTTGTCACAAGCCCTTCACTCTGACTAAGGGCTTACACTCAAAACAACAACTTTTGAAAATCTTTATAGAGGCCAATTTACATTATCAACTCCATTAATAAAATCAAATTATCTTGTAAACAAAAGATAGCTCCGACCATTGAAATCTGGGTAGAGAATTCCCCTCAGCAGCTCGAGAATTCTCTGATCTCCAATACCAAATTTACACCTTCTCTATGCAGTCAGCACCCCCCCCTACAAAAAGACAGATTAGATTCTTGTAGCCTGTTCCACACTGTCAGCTTGTGGGTACAAGAAAAAACTGAAGGCCTTAGCCCCCCTTCAAAAGGCATAGCTAGGGGAGGGGGGGAAGGACCTGTGACCCCCCCTTTGAAAGCCTTTTCTTATCATATTGGTAAAACACAGAGTGGAGGTTAACATGACAATCTGGTGAGTACCCTGGATTTGATACAGTGTAAACTCCCTTTTAAAAAATCCTGGCAACACCCCTGCAAGGCAGAATACTGAAGCACATCTTGGGAATTAGAGAGTTAAAAATATTAAATAAAAGACATACAACACTACTTGACATTCAAATTCCAACGCATTTATAAACTTGTTGAACAAACAATGACTTACAATTTACAAACTGTTCCCTTAGGTCATCATTCTAAAGAACTGTTATACCCCTGTGACAAAGTTCCAACTTGTATAGAAATCTCTCCACACAGTACATTTCACATCTGATCACACCTTCTGTAGCTTTAAAAGGACCAACCAGTCATTAATCAAGAGAGTTAATTGTTCCTAGGGGGCTGCCACTCCTCGATCTTTGGCCGGGTAGTACTGTAAGGAACGTATTCCAATTTGGTGCCTGTTTTGTTAGTTTCGTGAGCCTGAATAAACTTCCTTTCCGCTGGGGGTACTTTCGTGGGAGGGTCATCTGTCATGTAGTGCATCCAACGATGCCATTCCGCGGGAATCTGGCTGGCATCGAAGGTGTAACGATCCACGTAAGGGTAAACAACAAAACGATTTCTTCCCATGAAGTACGTGTTATTTTCGAAGTACTTATTTCCATATTTGTCTGTTCCAATCAGAGTTCCTGTACGAAGATTTGTCTCTCGTAGAATCCTGTAAAATGAAGCCTTCCAGCCACCAGCAACTTTAACAGCATTTAGCTCGGCTCGAATTGCATTTAAAAAGTAGGACATCTTTGCTAAAAGCCAACAAGCAAGATGGCTGATATTTTGCTTCGCCGAGCGCAGATGTTTCTGGGTAATCTTCTATTGACAATGATCAGCGGATAATCATTGAAGA